ATATATATATATATATATATATAGAAGTTGTGATAGACATACACTTGCAAGGAACTTGAAATGACACCACTTGCCTAATCTCGGCGAGAATAAGATCACAACGCACGATGGGAAGGTTAGGTGTAATACCGTCGAAGGTGCTGCAGCTTCCCTGGATTCTCATTGACTGCACTTCCTAAGACAGCCTACAAATTTTTAATATGCTTGTGTCTATCCATGTCTCTGTGTGTACATCTGTACGTGAATCTAAGCTTAAAAATATATGAATTTTCATAGCAACACCCATCTTCCAGACCTCGTGGAAATAAATTTGAAAGTCTTCGGCTTGTGAAAGGGTGACTCCAAACTAAAAAAAATTACGGTAAAATGGCTGAGAAGAAATTACTCTTCGAAATTGAAAAATTCCAAGCCATTTCAACCAAAACGCCCAACAAGCTTTCTTAGAAAGGATGACGAACAATTGGTGTAGCCCATTAACAAAGTTGTAGGGCAACTACAAGGTTTGTCAATTTACCTTACTAAGTAATTTTAACAGCGTTCATTTTACTACGTCAATAGAAACGCCTACCTTGTTCGAAATTATTTAAAAGAGACTATGTCTAAATCTGTATCTACATCTACCAGAATATCCATGTGGATGAACCCATGCCCAATCTAAAGCCTATGCATACGCCAATTTTTACATCTTTAGCTACAGCTGTTCCGTACCTACATCGAAAGAAGTCCGTACCTACTTACATCTAAACCTGTACTCTATCTACGCTTACAGTTCACCACTACATTTTCTCCGATTCTTATTGGTTTAAATTGATCACGTGATGCGATAGTGTTCATCCGTGGAGAGATACTATCAGCCCATAGTGCCCGTCCGCGGAAAATACCTGAATGGATAGCGCCCATCCGTGGAAAATATCCGGATGGATAGTGCCCGTCCGCGGAAAATACTCGGATGGATAGTGCTCATTCAAGAAAAATTTTGATTGGTTTGACGGCCGCGAAGTTAAGCAGATCGGAAAAACAGTAACTTTTCGATTCCGACAGGTATAACGTATTATTTAGCCAATGTACGGATGCGAATTAATGACATTTGTGACAGGCTGTACGCATGAATAAATATTTGATTGATCTGCATTTAATGGGTTTTGACTGTTTTTCAACTGGCGCGCGGAAGAAAACTTAGTGGTGAACAATAAAGACAATAGAGTGTTTTAAGAACATCAAATTTCGGCGTGGCAACTATCGGCCGATAGTTCCTCGACAGAAACACTCTATTGTTTAAATATGTCTTCCTCTTATTCAAAGTCTATTTCTGTATTTTTATATGCATTCAAGTATTCAGGTTACCTCTTTTCTAAGTCAACACTCCGATCAACACTTAACTACTACAAAAGCGGGACTTTCGTGCATGCATCTAATATCTACATTTGCAAACTTTATGTATATCTGAATCTAAGACCGCGTCCCTCGTTTCCTTTCTAACTGTTTTACTAACTTTTTTTTAGCAAAAGCAATGACGAACTTGTCTCGTGTTAACATAGGCCCGTCTAACCATTGGTGAACTTAACGTGGTTCTTGGGGGTTATGCAAACACTAATGAGGCTATTTAAAGATATAAAGATTCTTCGAACACTTAACTATTCCTCTATGCACTCTTCCTTGATATCTAATATTGCTTATCATGCTACAGCCAAAGCAATGAACGCACGACCTATACAAATCTCTCATTGTGTTTTTGTGTGTGTGTGTGTGTGTGTGTGTGTGTGTGTGTGTATGTGTGTTCTTTATTTTTGCCATTTTTGTTTTGTTCTGTTTCTCATTTTTTTAATTTTTTTGGTTTTGTTTTTTGAATTTTTTTCAATTGTTTTCTCTTGGTTGTTTTTTCTTTGTTTTGTTTTTGGCTTTTTAGGTTTTGCACACTAAACTCTCTAAAAAACTCTCAAGGTGAAAAACATGTCAAATGTTTTTCACAGATTTTTTTGCATGCGTTTTATTGTGCACTATTGTACTATTTTTGTATTAATTTCACTATCCATATCACTATCAGAGCTATTAATGAACCTTGAACATGCATATATGGTGGGTAGAGACCTAAATCATACTATTGAGAATATTCCTCATTTGTAATTCTATAGCGGCTCCTAAACGTATACCTTGAAATTTTTGCAGTTTGTCCTCGATCTAAAGGAATGAAAAACTAAAAACTGGAGGAGTAGGAAAACCTGCAAAATACTGACGCCGAAAACATATACCAACTCTTATCGCATGCAGACTTCCGCCCTTCACAAGCCTAAGTTGCTAAAGTAATAAAATAAAAACACTCAAAACATCAACATTACACTGCAAATGAAAACAAACAACAACTTAGATAAACATTACGTAAAGGAAAGAAACTTAAACGATGGAGGGTATGAGCAACATACCCTTCGATGAACAAACACTTTCTACAAATCAGAGGTATCGACAATTATTTTTAAGAACATGACGTCGTTCTTAACATAGGCGCGATTACCAATTTCATCAAGCGGAAAGAACGATGTACTTCCACCGGCGATGGTGCTACTTGACGTTTGGAAGGACGAGCGCCTCAAGCAAGGAGTGAAGGCCTCGACTACGTGTTCCACTCCATCTTGATCCAGTAACATGAAGGTGACCTTCTGTCTAAATGGCCAGTCGAGACCTGCATCATACTCACCACGCATGACCACAAAGAACATAGATAGATGAGTTCCTTTGCCCTGACCATAGCCGTTTAGATACAGGCGTACGCACATTTTATACCCCTGGCGACTGGTGTAGAAAAAAGGGCTATTAAAGGAGACTTGCTGGCCTGTGACTGCATCATTCCGTTTACGAGCATAATCAGAAATCTTCCACAACAGCTGGCCATCGTAGCTTGAGATCTCTTGCTGTCTTACGTATTCTTCCAAATCAGCCAGGGTTACATTTCTAAGTGCCAGCGTGTGCTCAATAGATTCAATCCTTCGGTCATGCCTCCTGCAGCTCTCCTGTGTGGTGTCAAGTTGCCTTTTCAAATTGCCCACGTCCCGTAGGTAATACGATGCTCCTCCAGAAACAGTACCTGATGCTAACGTTCGCTCCAATATGGTTATGCGACGACTGTTCTCTTGCAGTTTACCTTGAAGGCTTCTGATTTCGTCAGTTCTAATTTGTAGTTGATTCTGTAGATCTTGAATAAGACTGTCATGGTTCGTCAATAATTGAGGACTCCTGGACATGATCCTCGGGTCACGGGTCAGAATGGCCTCATATTCTTTGCTTGTTCGAATTGCAAGCTGAAGCAGCAGAACACTGTGTTGAGCAAAGGCCTTCTGCAAATGCTGTTTCTTTTCCCTTTGGTTTAGACACTGTCGGATCGAGGTAGGTGTTATGTCAGTACTACATAAACACAACAATTATTTCCTAAAGAACAATTTTGTGCGAAAAAAAGTTGAAATCCCGAAACTCAGTACAATGGCGATTTTTCAACTTTATAGCCTAATTCTAAAAGAACTCCTACGCTTGGGAAGCATAATGAAAATTGCTAAGCTTGCTGTTCCTCGTTTATTTCAGTAGCTGTACCGGCTCAGTCTCCCCACCATGAGATGGTGGGCTGGGTCGTTTGCAAGCTTGAGAAATAAATTCACATAGACTGAGTCTTTAACCTCTCTGAGAATGTCTCTGTTACTTCTGTATACGAACATGTCGGGAGATGCTGTATATCACTCGTATGCACTTGGTAAAAGGTCTTAACCGTCTACCTCCTCCCGAAAGGGCCGCATTTTCAACTTTCCCAAGAGTACTTAAGTACACAACAGTCAAACAAAGTCGTGTGTATACTTACATCCCTTTTCGGGCAGCCAATCTGAGAGAAGGGGCATGGTCCCTGCACCTGCACGGCTTCACAGTCGCCAAAAATAAGATCCTGGTGATCTTTCAACTTTAAACAGAATGTTCATCATAATTAATGCTCGTATATACATGCTAACTGATACCGAAAACGGACTTTTGAGCCACCAAATATGGAACTTTGAATGTAAAATGGATTTAATTCGCACGTTTGTCTCATAGCACATCTTACAATTGAAATACGTCGAAATTTTGTAATAGTACAGATCCCATTGAACAATTTCTACAAAATGTAGGCTATTGCATATAGATTGAATGGTCTATATCAATCAGTTTGTTCGCGCGGAATTCTAAGCATCTTCCCTTTAAAGACCGGTGTTTAAATCAAATGCAGTAAGGGGCTTCACGAAATAAAACTAAGTAAATACCAGTAATGTGGTAGGCGTTCTTGCTTGAAATATCTATATATTGTTGTTTCAAGGCAGTAAAATCATCTTAAAAGTACAATGACAAGATATTTTTACTAGAAGGAATGTCTTCTTACTTTCCCTCTTGAAATTCCATCCTTGTTGCATTTTCCACAAGTAATTGGATAACCATAACACTTTGTTTCTATGTGTACCTGTAGAAACAGAAATATATTTTCAACAAATGATTCTACATTTGAATTGAAACCGTGAAATAATGCCGATTTGTGAGGCATATTTTTTTTTACTTTGATGACATGAAGATGTTGTAGAACATTTTCAAGGATTGATATTTCAAGTATTTTTAGGTTTACCTTTTGTTTTATTAAGTCTCGCCTTTTCGCCCTTACGTGCTATTCTGATGAATCTATAGTTTTGATCATTTATTTTTAGTGTGTGCTTGAACTTGGCTCAGCACTTACC